TCTTTAATTTACCAAAATGAACCAAAATAATAATGAAAACGATGAAGAAATCATCAAAGAATCGATTGAGAGTTTTCAAATAATCAATGACAATGTTTTGTATAAAAGTAGTGATTTCATATCCAAACCAATCAAAAGTGAAAGATGTACGATGGATGAAAATATACTACAGCTCCAGTATCCTTTATCAGGTCAAATCGGTTTTTTACAAATTAATAATTAAATGTCAATAAAATAAAATACGAAAAATAGGTATTATAAAAATATATAATAATCGAAAATTAATAGTTATAATATAATACATTGGTAATAAATGTAGGGGTGGTTAGATGATCGTTAATACTAATAATAATATGAAGATCCAATTTATTGGTATAATAAAACCTTACATCTATAATAATAGTCATTCATTCGGTTACGATTGTTGTTCCAAAATATTCAATATATGTGCAGCAGACAACCACACGGTTGTGTACGCGGCAGGTAGTTATATTAATATGTTTGACATCAATGACAGAAAATTGAGTTTTAGAAAATGTGCCGGTAACGGAGGAATAGGGTACATAGTTGTAAGTGTATTTAGAATAATCGTTGTGATATATTACTATGACTAATATTAATTGTTTTCATTAAGAAAAATCCCGTTTTGAGCCATATAGCGGTTGGAGAAAAATGTACTAATCCTCTGATAATCGTGTACGAATGGCCAACGTTTGAAATAGTTAGCGTTCTCAAAGGCAGTGCTAAACAAAAAATAAGTGGCTTGTCGTACAGGTGTAACCAGCGTCGATTTTTTCAAAATGTATACAACTACAGATATAAAACAAACCAATTTTTTGTTTTCAGCGAAAACGGTGACTTTTTGTGTTCGCAAGCAGGTGGGCCGGATAATACCCTTACGATTTGGGATTGGAAAAAATCGAAAATAGTCTTGAGGACCAAGTCTCACACACAGGACGTATACGTTTGTAGGTTTTCAAACTTTATACCCAACCACTTGGTGACCGCAGGGTCGGGACACTTGAAATTCTGGAAAATGGTCAGAACGTTTACCGGATTAAAGCTCCTAGGTCAGCTCGGACGCTTCGTAAAAACGGAAATATCAGACGTCATTGGAGTTTTTTCGATGCTAGATGAAAAAGTAAAATCATGTATACATAATATAATATTAATCATAATTGTAGTAAAATAAACTATTGGAATTAATATATTATATGTAATATGAGTTATGTCATATCATGTGCCTACATACATTAACCGCGGTTATTGCAATGATACTTACTCAAATTGTCCTCAGGACTTTGTCAAGGGGTCACTTTAAATTTGTTCGTTTCATTTCCTATCCGATTATTCCGATTAGTGATAAAGTATTGTTTGTGACATGTTTTCTTTCATAATATTTATATAGGGAGGGAATGTAAAAATTATTTATGAATTATATTATACAGATAGTTAGTTAAAACTCAATCTTACAGCATTAATTTTAATTAACTGTCACGTGATTTTAAATTAGCAAATGCTTTTTTTTTTTAGTAAATAAAATATTACTATTGATTTGATAATTTTAGATAACTTTGGGTAGGTAGTTTATAAAATTATATGTTTCTAGCATATTCCGCAGGTATTGATACCGCGAACTTGAATAATTGAAATTATTGTATGCCATCTATATGAGCCTTTTAATTTTTTATTAAAAATATAAAAACTTTGTTGACACTGCAGTTTGTCCCATCACTTCATATTGTCATAAATCTATAAAAGAAACGTTCTTAGTTCTGACGTTCATAACCCAGTGTAATAAAAATCAATCCTTAAAAAAAATTTAATTTTTTTTAATTTTAAAAATATTTATTTTGTGATATTTTATACTACAAAGGTAATATGATTGAAGTAGGGATTTCAATGCATTGATTTCCGATCTTAGTTACGCCACGTCCGTTTTATAATATACTGCACGTTTAATGTACATTTATTTAGAGTAAGAGTTTTAATTTTGCATTTTTTGCCGATTTTAAATTTTAAAGTAATTTTTCGCATTAAAAGATTTTTGGTAATTTTAAAGTTTTTCTGAAATTTAAATTTTAAACTTTATTTACATTACTTACGTTCCTTTACATGATTAGCTGGTTGTTGAATCCAAAAACCACACACTTTGAAATTTGTCAAAACTGATAAATTTTTAAAATTTATTAAGTAATTATATAATTTGATTATTTAATTTATATTTATTGAAAAAAAAATAGAAAATTCCTTAATTAAAATAAAATATGTACTTAATACATTTTCGACAGTTTTTCGTGGCTGTTGATTGAAAATAGATCAATGTCCATTGAAATCATGAAAAATCAAAAAAAAAACTTTTAAAACATTTGAATTATTATTTATACTATGTAACTACGCATTTTGTATTGATACCATACGCATACTCAACCTTACGTCTTGGAGTCAAAAGAGTGTGGATGTTTGGTGCTTGACACAGTCGTCTGCTCTGTTTGCTACAGGTAATATCTGGCTGCGAATGGGGCAATATTTTGGTGTGGGGAGAGAAATTCATCGAAATCGAGATTACAAGGAAATTAAGAAAACCGTGTCATTCGGCGCCCATCATCATGTTTTTATACTCCAAACACGACGAGCTGTTGACGAGCATCAGTATGGACGGGATGATAAAATTCTGGAACTACCGTATCGTCGAATCAGCTGATCCACCCGAAAACGACCGTGTGCTGGAAATGGAACCATCTTACGTGATCAGCATCCAGGACTCTATCGGTGACTCGAAAATCATGGGCATGTCTAAGATCGACAGCAACCCTAAATCGTACGACTATTTTATCCAGGTAATAAACGACAGTAGAATCTATTTGCTACAGGTGTTATACATAATAGAGTAAGGATAACAGTTGTAATGTGCTATCGATGTCCGCGATGGATGAATAATAATACCAAATATATTTTTTCTTATAATACCTGTAATATAATATTATCCACTGTGATTGTACGTAATACTTATCGAAATCTTATGGTTTGAATGTAATATACATTTATCTCGTTTCTGTAGGACGGAAATGGAGGAATATGGCTTGCCGACATCGAATTGTCCACAAAAGCGAAGCCTCTAAGACGGTTGGCTAAGTTTCACGGCGGCAAAATAACATCTTTGCAACCCTCGAGCGTCGGTCATTTCCTCGCAACAACGTCGTTGGACGGATGGCTTCACGTGCACAATGTCACAAAAAAAAAGTTGGCATTCGCCCACGATTTCAAAGTACCAATAACGTCGTCAATCTGGTTGCCATCGAAGGTATGCAAACTTTTGTATTGCGATCCAACTGGGTTAACTTGAACTGTTTTAACTCAAATACCTCGAACTTAGTCCTGGTCTTTAGAATTCCTTATTATATATTGTAGTAATTTATCCTTTGATAACTTGGACTTTTTAGCCTTTCCTTTCAACTTTGAGTTAATCAAATCCGACTGTATAACCATTTGAACCGTGGCTATAACGATTATAAATATTATGCTATAGTTATTATTCATAAGTCACATTTGTTTAATGAATAAACTATTTATAGATAGCTTGTTCGAGAAATATTTTCGTAATTGGATTTCAAACGGGAATTTTGAGACTCGTTGCCGTAACCCTTAAAAAAATAGACAAAAAAAAAATATTAAGTCATTCTGAAATAGAGGAAATACAAGTATTTAGATAATTGTTACTGATATAAACAATAATTGATTGAAAATTGGTGTGAGAATCTGGTTTTTTAATTTTTTAGACTTCAAAACCTCATAATAGTTCCATTATATATTTGTCGATAAGCAGTAGTGCCAAAACGCTTGTAACTGGAAGTGACGATAAAACAATATTTGTCTATAAAATAAAAACTGGACCTATCAAGTTGAGTCCCATTGGTTTTTTTCCATTACCCGGAAAAGTCACATTTGTTCACTGGAAACCTTCAGAAGTAAAAATTTGTGTCTATTTGTGAATCAGTGATGGTACCTATGTAATCGTTTTCAATGATTCAATTATTGATTTTAGAAACAGATGGCATTGATAAGTTGCGCTAGTGGACATATCGTAGAAGTGGATATCCCCACCAGTCGTCCATCGTACACCAGAGAATCGTTTTTATTGAAACTCGAATCGCGTGTAATAAAAACGGTGAGCATCAAGTCAGAAATACGTCAAAAACAATATTTGTCTAATTTAATGGACAAAAAAAGAGATAAAATCAATAGAAAAAAAGAGACCTTAAAACTTCTCAAAGAACAAAATCCCGGTGATGAAATCGACGAAGATATATATTTTGAAGATTCCGAAGAAGACGAAGAACCTCCGAAAATCTTTATTCCTCCGACACCGAACCCCGTAGTGTTCGCCATTTACACTCCATCAGAGAACGGTATATGGGTATCGATTGATGGATATGACGCTGGCTATTTGTACGAATACGATGTGAACACTTCTAGACCAGTAACTAATGCACACGTGACACTACCAGATATAAATGATACTCCACTAACTGCGATTGCAATGTCGTAAGTTACTCAGTACAGTTTTATTATTATTATTATTATACTTCCTCAAATAGTATTTATAATCAATGCTTATACAAAGTATATTATACTATAGGCTGACACTAAAAATAAATTATTATAATATATTATTATACTTGTAAATGTATAAATTAAAACTCTCGTTTATAGTCTATTATACTTAGGAATTAAAAATATATTGAGACATTTACATAATATAATAATTAGGTATGTAAGAAATTTAGTAATTTATACATAAGTTAATATATCCTAGGGTTTATTACGATATGCATTGTTTATTTTTTAGACTAGGTACCTCTATTTATAAATACTATAAAATATACAAATTTTAATTAATGAACAAACAAAAAACAAAAATGAACCTACAAAAATTTGCTAAGCTTCATTAATTTTTTTACCTTTTTGATTTGATTAACATTATAATGTGCACATTCTTTATGATTTATAGTGGAACTGATCCATTAACAATTTTAATGGGATTTGCTGATGGTAGAATACGTCTTACAAATGTTAAAATCAACGATGTATTAGATTTCGATGACTATATTGAATTTACTATTCACGACAACGAAACAGGAAGAGTAAATATGTTGTGTTTCAGTCAAGACAAAAATATGTTATACACTTGTGGGGATGATTGTAACATTTTTAGTTTTACGTTTCAATATAATAATTAAGACAACGAGCAGAAGTTGTTTTGTATTGGTTGTGAGTAATATAATAAAATCTCACAATTCTAAAATTAAAAATTAATGAAAATGAAAATGAAGTTTGTAAGACGCAGATAGAAACCTCTTAAAATTTCCTAATTTTAATGTAAACACATCCTTGGCACCTGCAAACATCGTGTCACAATTGAAACTACATGCACTACATATAAAATTAATATTCCCCACGGACCACGGATTATTATGATTTTTATTATCTTAGTTCACAAATCACATATTATTTATTATTTTATTAATTCACATTAATTCATATAAAATAAAAAGGTATAACAACATTTTGTAAAAAAATTACTATACATAATAATATTATGTTTGTCAATAGTTTATTAGCATGTTAATTTGTCTTGTTGGTCAATTCTTTTTTTTTTTTTTTTTGTAGTTTTTGGCAAGTCTAATAATGCAGAATGCTGATGAATTGCGTTTAGAAGGTTTAGCACTCACTTTAGCCCATCTTCTTTATTTGCCATACCACTCATCTTTTCATAAACACTATTTAAAACCTTCAATTGTTGTAACCATTCTGCAGAATATTCTCTTTGGTCTATTAATTAAGGTCTATTAAGAATTTTTCTACTTTGTATTGGTAGATTCCTGTTATTATCAATGTTTTCAGCCCTTGTACATTTTTGTTCTTCTAATATTAATCTTGTAGTAGTAGCAGTTGTGGTATTTTGCATATTTAAATCAATTGTACTTATTTCTTCTTGTGGGCTGGTTATTGAGTACCTAGGGTTGGTAGATATATAAACATTATTTTTGAATTTTTCAGGCAGATCATTAAATTAATAACCTGGTACATATATGAATAATGCACATATATGTTTACATGGCCAATGATACTTTTCAAAATCTAAACATGTATCTCTGCATTAATTAATGTTGATTCTAAATAATTAAAAAAGTCACTGTCACTCATGATGAATATAAGGCAATGGTTAAATGGGTTACTCTAAACTGTTCACTCATATAAGTAAACCATACTAAAGAGAATTGAAGAAGATTTTTTTCTCTTCAATCTATTAGGAGAATATACAAAACCAGTTTTGCAACAATTCTTTATTTATATTTTTGTATTTGGATATTTTTCATATTACTATGGAAGTTGTACAGTACTATACTGTAATAAAGTACCTATTATATTTAACAGTTTTATATATTATGTCATGTCTGGTCTTTTTTTTTTTTGGGGGGGGGGGGTGGGGTGGTTCAGGGTGTACATTTGCACCAACTTTTTTTGAAAACTTCTTTGGCCTACAATAAACATAATCACCGATATACCAAGTGTTTTATATTATATATTATATTTTTAAAATATATTATTTTATATTTATTCAGTGTAAAAAAAATACAATTATAACATACATATTGTGAAGAAGGGTACCCATAAAATAAATTTCTGGTTTTATTAAGCTACCTTATCATATATTTTGAGTATAAAAAAATGTGTATCCACAATTTACAATAAATACATTAAAAGTACCAACACGTCTACACATAGTTCGTCAAAAATAGTAACAATATTGACTATTGTGATTTTTTCATACTAATATAAGTAACAAATTATACAAATAGTCCACAGTTTTTTTCCCCGCATGACCCCCCCACCACCCCTCGAAAAAAAGTTTTCTATTGACGCCCCTGGTTTCAGCCATCAAAAATCAAAATACGAATTGCCGCGCATATTTTAGATAACAGATTTTTGCTTGATAAGAACAAAGTAATAACGACTACATAATGATAACAATATTATGGTGCCGTAATAGGTAGTACAAGGAGTCTTGTATTACATTTTCAAATCTTAAAATTAAAAAAAAAAATGTTTTTTTATGAATTTCTAGCTCAAAATAATTTGTACATTTTCGTCGTTTTCAAGTATTTTGTCAATATTTCAACATTAAATGCTTATAAAAAAAAACTGCAACCCGTTTTTAATATTTTTCACAGACCATTTAACAATATATTAGGAACCTTAGTACATTTTCAAGATTTTTACCCAAAAATAAAATTTTATTGACTCATAGAAATAAAAATTAAAAAAATTGATACTGAAAATGTCCGTAAACAGTTTTAGCTAGTGCATATTACAATATATCGGTACTATAATTTGTACTACATAATAATAATTAAGTGATATACACCTTCATCGGTATCCAACAACTAATAAATCCAGTACCTGCAGTAGGTACTCAATATTACAGAGTAGGTATTTAAGATCCTTTGCTGCTTATATTACATATTACATGATGATAAATTGTTGTAATGTTCTATACTCGAAAGACGCCAATTCGACACTCTTATATCCAGAATAAAATCCATGTAGGCACCTTGTACCTAGTATATTTTATAACCAATGATAAAACTTATTAGTTATTATTATGCATAAACAATTACGTACCAGTATTGAAATACTGACATATTATAGGTAGTTAATTTTTAAATGTATATATTAACACAACTACAGTTACAGCTAAAATAACACGTTAATGACATAAAATTCAATATTTTCAAGTAACACCAAAAGAATGGTGAAAAAATTACATTTTTCATCATACACTAAAATGCACGGTCGTTTCTTTTGAAAAGTAGATATTATAATATATAAATTAATAAATTCAAACAATATTTTTATTTAATAAAATATGCATTTATTAGTAGGTACGCTGTTACAAACAATATAATTATCCATAAGTAAATTTTACTTTACAAAAATAAATTCATATATTAATTATTATCAAGTTATCTATAATATATGTTAATGTTAATAATATTGTAAACAGCCGTCTAGCTCAATAGTTCATAGACAACAATTAAATGTAGATAATATTGAATTACTGCAGCAGAAGTTTATCGGTACGGCAAACAAAATAATATTGTTATTCATATTGGTTTTCGTATTACAACAGTCGGTCGATAACGTCGGTCGATAACGTGCACACAGCATATTATATAATTTTTCTGAATGAGAATAACATCTCAGATGTTAGTTTTATGACGGGAGCAGACGTTTTTACATGCGCACATCAAGCAATCTAAGTGCCGCAGCGTTGGCACACCAACTTTTATCCCATAGCCACAATATGACCATCGGATGAAAACAAACGTGCCAACGCTGTGGCTAATTGACACTTAGAATGCCTGAAGTACGCACATAAAAACGGTTGCCCTCGGTGTAGAATTTTTTTTGTTACAGAACCAGAAAGATTAAATTTTCTGCAGTACGCTCATGAAAACGGGTGTGTGTAGAATTAAATTACCGTTAACATAGCCGTCTAGCTCAATAGTTCATAGACAACAATCAAATGTACATAATATTGAATTACTGCAGCAGAAGTTTATTCAGAGGTTCGTCGGAGTAGATTGTACTAAGGATTTCTAGAGCGAGTGCGTTGCGACGGCCTGCGGTTTGGCGGCCATCTTCAATATTCTATTCGGCCCACGATTGATCGATACAAGTCACGTGAATACTGCAAACAAATAAACAATTAATACGTTGTAAGGGATACAATACTTTAAACGATATTAATATTATATTGATAGGAAATTCCGCCAAGGGGATGTCAGCGCATTATTATTTGTTCTCCGTCAGACCAACACGAGATAAAACGCTTACGCCGAAAATCGTTTTTCATGCGGTTTTTGACGTTTCCAGGTTTGACACGTATCGATTTTATATTTTAATATTATTTGACTTTATATTCGACACGAAATCGATGCGATGTCATACCATCAAAAATATTACTCTCCATAACTTTTGTAACGGGTGATTTTCCTCATTAGAGATCTAATCTGCTCAGAGAAAACACAAACAGTGCGCTGACGTCCCTCAAGTGCGAGAACGTAATATATGATTACGTTATTGAGACGACGGTAAAATAATAAAGAAAAAAAAGTGTTGTCGACGGCGACACGGAAATGAATGCCAATATAAAAGACAGACTTACTTGGTTTGGACTTTTGACCTTTGATCCTGGCATTCCCGGAAACCGCCCCGACCAAGGAAGTCGTGATACAACAATCGGTTGTAAGACGACTACCCCCCGGTCGGATCACAATGGCAGAATTAAAATCCAAAACAGTGAACGGCAGGAGACGCCGAGACGGGCACTTGGCGTCTAGGCGGACAGAACCGCGAAGGCGAAATGAACGCATTCGGACTGACGTGCGAGCGTGTGATGTGCCGCCGTGCCGGTAATGTCGGACAAAGGATCGAGCCCTTTTTTTTAGGTTATTTGTTGTTGTATATACCACGACCCCGTTAGGTTTTACTAATATTGGTATACCGGGAGTACTTAAATGGGGAGATCATGGTTCTCGTACGCATAAAAAAACGCCCCGAAATGAGTCGCACGATTGAACGGCCACGGGCTGCGCTGCTCACTCTTAGGGTTTACTAAGTTTACTTTGAGTTTTGCCCCCGCGTTGTATCTTTATATATTACTAGCTCTAAGTGTAACTCGGGGCCCGTTGATCTCGCTGGGAGTGGGTACCGATTTTGGAGACAATGAATTATAAAAGTCGCAAAGGTTGTAAGACGAAAGTTTAGGATTTGTGATATGGATTGGAGATAAGGCTAGACGCTTGGGCGGGAATGTTAAAAGTTTGAGGGTCTAGCAATCCGTCACAAACGTTGTAAATGGATAGGCTGGATACGATCTCCAGGATCACCTATATAGAGTATACCTGCACATACTATGACCGGTGCTTTATCTTATGTAAAAAGTGTAAAGTCGAAAACCGTGTTGGAGTTTCTTGCAAGTCAGCCATCTCAAGTCAAAATCTATTAACTTTCAAGTTAACCACTTAGGTAGGCAATCCGCCTTCGTCGGATCTCGGACAATGTGCTACAGCAAATCAGGTAGGCAATCCACCTGCGGTGGATTGCAGACCCGACATCAAGCGGCTATAAGTGAAAACCCTATCACACAACTTACGAAAAATTCAAACTATAT